TATATTCTGTGCAATATGACATAAATCTATTGCTCAACATACATATAGTTTTGCAGTGATGGTTAAATCATCCGACTATATAACTGTGTCATTTTATTGAAATGTTCAACATACTATAGGTCTACTGTGTCACATGTCTGGAGACACATACTATATTTCATAACTTTTTACACTATGCCTTTATTTTTTAATTGTCGACTATTACGACATACCATGTCGTTGTTTTTTTTTACATTTTCGACTACTACCATGTATTTCTTTCCAGATATTTATGCATTACTATACTATGTAACAGTTTTCTGATACTTTCATCATATTATACAATATTCATTTTTGACGTACTTTTTTCAATATGCAGTACGTTTACGTTAAAACCATATTTTCTTTTTTCAAGATACTAAACACTGACCTTTTATTCCAAAAATATTATACCATGTCGTTTTTCCCTGATATTTTAGAGATACTATACTGTGTAGTTTTTTTCAGATATTCATATGGCATTACATACATTACCATTACCATGACTTTTGATGACTTACTTTACTATGACTATGCTATGACTTTTTACGACATAATTGTATAACTTTTGATATGCCGTACAAGAGTATGACTTTTCTGATTCTTCTCGCATATTATACTGTGACTTGTTTCTTTTCTACAGCATTTTTTGGTGGAATTATGACACAGGATACTATAATTTTTCAATGACTTTTTATGACTTTCATATACCTCTAGCAATGACAGTCACTTGTTCGTCTGTATGAGTGTGTTGATGGCCTCGGGACAGGCAGTGAGGGGTACGGGTCTGGATTAGCAGTAGCACAGCAGGGGTGACCGAGAGAGGGGTAGGAAACCAAGCAATGGTTGGTGTTTCCACGGAAACCCTCTTATCTGGCAATATGCACACATGGAGGGCCACGGGGTCACAGGGGGGTTACCAGGCAGATGGGCGAGCAGCAGGAAGTGACCTTGTAGACAGGAAGCGAGAGGGCTCCCTATCAGAAGGAGGCTTTCCACTCACCTAGCACCTTTTTAAAGCACACAAACATGCACACACATGCAAAGAAATACACAAATTAGGTGACACAGATAACTCATGACACATAGAAATATGAAGGTGCGCTGTAAGCACATTCACTGGTGCTGAAAGCTGAGGCTGTCCTACTTTCTCCCTGTCCCTTTCTCTCATATACAGCACACCAACACCTACACACACACTTACTTGCATAGTAGTCACCACTAAAACCAGAATATGCCCACAACCTCTTAGCCCCGCTACTTTGCTTTGTGCTTGAATAAGCAGCAGTGCCTGAAGTGACTGTGGAGAAAGTGGCGGAGGCATGAAGGAGTATTGTTTAGACTGGAATGTTCCTCTGGCTCTGAGTTTTTGAGTCTCCTGTTGTGCAGAAAGGAAACGGTTCCCTCCCTCCATTGTCTTACTATAGCCTGCTTTGGATCGGGTCTTCAACAATGTCCTCCAGTCCTACTGAACAGCTCCCTATTAGGACATAAACCTGACTGACAATGATGTACAAACCTCTTCATTCAAGATTTAGGGTTTAAATTATTGATAAACTCTAAGAGGAGCGTTGCTACAATGCTTTTAGCATGCAGTTTTACATGGACCTTGAACATGTTCATCAAATGATGTGTGGGTGCTGGGGGGAAGTTACTGAGCTCAAGGACAGTCTGTGTCAAGCTTGCTCGCATTTCCTCCCGGGCATCGTAGCTACACTGCCAAACTAAAATGGATATTGCTGCAATAAATGGTTAGAAATGTTCTGATTGCAACATTTTTGTTTTTTTCAGGACTCCCCTACCAACAAGCTGCTGTATGCCAAGGAGATCCCAGAGTATAAGAAGAGAGTGCAGTGCTACTACAAGCAGATACAGGACATGCCACCTCTTAGCGAGCAGGAGATGAATGCTCACCTGGCTGAGGAGTCACGAGTGAGTAAAGTGTTCCCTGTGTGTTAGGGATCTGGCTCCACAAAAGCCATCAATCACACGTTTTATTGTGGAATCTAATACATGTCTTTTGTCCATCCTGCAGAAATACAGAAATGAATTCAACACCACCCTGGCCTTGACAGAAATCTACAAATATGCCAAGAAATACAGAACACAGGTAAGAAAGGAGATGTTACTTTCTGTCCTTCTGATCCCAGAATCAGATACGATATGTTACTCGTGTTGAAACTGGCCCTTCGCTGAACGCCTCGACCCCTTTTTTTTTTACTAAGTTTCAACAGATGGGTATCAGAGCGTGACATATCCGTGTGGAGGATCTTATGCATGTTGAGAAATGTTGTAAACTGTTTTAAATCTGTCACTCAAAGGTGTTCACTCTAAGCAAACAACATGCTGTTTAGCCTCCTTTTATCCATCACCCCTAGCCGCCTAATAAGATGGTTAAGTTGCTGCTTCATGTGTTTTCTATTTCTTTATTAACCAACCCTTTACAAGCCCCTGCAGTCTTCTCCAGTGTTTCTTTACTGCTGTGACTATTCTCAAGAGAGGCTTAGTGAGTGGTTACTGTGCCTTAATGGAGCACCCTCATGATAATGCCGTTTAGATTCTTTCCTCTGTCATGCTACTGTACTGACGTGGGCCAGGGGGCTTAGAGTCTGATTCACAGAGCTCTGTGAATGGCCCCTGATTGCCTATTCTCTTGCCACAGCTCAGTTTGCTCTGCTTCGTGTCACACTGCTGCTAAGAGCCCATAAATCCCTCTTGCACCGTGACATCTATTGGGCATGAAAAACAGAGCAGATGTGGGTTTTGTAAATATGTGAAGAGTTAAGGCTTTTGTGGTGTTGAGGCATGCGTGAAGGCTGTCGAAGAGGCTGAAGCACTTCACTTGTTCTTCTTGCCGCTTTCCCTTTTCCTCTTGCTCAACTTTCTATGTCCAGGCAGGTGGCTGATTTCCTCCCTCCCCTAGATAGATAGATGGATGCATGAATGCACCACAGACACTAAAAGTCTATGTTTCTTTTTCTATCTCCCTCGATCAGGTGGTGACCGCTCTGGAGTCGAACCCAACAGCACGTCGCACTCAACTGCACCACAAGTTCGAGCAGGTCATTGCGCTCGTGGAGGACAACATCTACGAGTGCTGCAGCGAAGCCTGAACCTGCCAGTGTCTTTTCTACTAGCCATCTCTTTCTCCTGCTGACAGCTGCCTTCCTCCTGCCTCCATAGTTACTTGGGAATGTCTGCCTTCATACGGAGTTAGCCTTCATAAGTGTCATTATTTCCCACAGACTATAAGAAGCGTGGAAGGTGGCAAAGGACTTAAACCTGCCTCTCAAGCGCCGTACATTTGCGAGATGTTCCTCCTCTGATCTGGGAATGCCGAGCTATTTTCCCAAATCTTTCTCCAGTTTGGCTCAGCTATGCTTTAGAGGGAAGGTGTAAGGGCGTGGAGATGAGTCTTTACAGTTACTGGGACCTACAGTAAGCCCTGGTGGCGATTTTAACGCACTGAACCCTTTTCTTAAGGGAACGAGCCAATGATGCACTGTACTGTATTATAATGTCCATAGCAATATTTATAGATGTGTTATAATGATTTCAAGTGGCCTGTCCATCAGGATGAGTAAGAAGCACCTCGATAAACTCCTCATCTCCTAAGGCCTGCATAGTTCTCAGGTGTGCTTGGTGAAGATGGGGGACCCCGCTCCCATCGGTGCTTTGATGGATACGTCCCAATGTGCTTTGCAGGTTGATGATGGATTGAGGAGAAATGGAGAGAATATAAATGACTGAGATTTATTGAATAAGATCTAATGTAGTTCACTGGGAAGAGCTGCATTAGTATAGACGTGTTGATCAGTGTGCTTGTTAGCGAATGAACTTAATGTTGGATTCTGACCAATTTAAAAGAGGGAAATTTACATTTATGAGAAAAAAGTGAACTCAATATAAGGAGAGACTGTATTTGTGATGCCAAATGACTTGTCAGAGTGTGAAATAAATTACAGTATTTAGGCTTTTAAAGTGTCTAATGATGACAATGTGTATTTTTCTAAGTCTCAAAGTGCTTCATTTACACGTGCATTACAGCATAGCACATTTTAACAACATTTGAAATTAGAAAAGAAACCATTAAGATCTGGCCTGCCACCCAAAAGCGCACAAACTAGCATCTGGAACTTATCAGAGAGCCTTGTAAACATTATCATGAAAATGTGAGGGAGGGGAAAAGTCGTGCAGACATTTAGCTTTGTTTTTATTGCAGGACACAGAACAACTTCCACAGGACCCTAGGTTTAACATAATAAACAAAATAATATCCCCATTTCTCTATAATACACACACTGCGTTCTGACATCCTCCACACACACACACACACACACACACACACACACACACACACACACACACACACACACACACACACACACACACACACACACACACACACACACACACACACATCCACTGTCCCCTCTCCCTGCAGAGGATTTTTTTCTGGTCCATCTGTTTACACTCATGTCTCAGTCAATGCCAAGAGCAAACTAACAACCCCAACTCCATAAAGTCAAGAGAAGAGACAAGACCACAGCCCCATCTGATACCTTAAAAACTCAAAAGATTCATGACTAATCTCACCAAAGTAATCATAAAATGGATTGATTGAAGCGCATTTTGGGGTTATATATAGCTGCAACGTATACCAGTTTTTATTGACCTATTATGTGTTTTGGGGTAGTGGGGAGCTTGGAATGTGTTCAGTTGGATCATCACAACACCCCTTGATGCCGGGTTAAACTCGGTTAAGCCAGCTGAACACTTTCCATGATTAAATGGATTGAAAATACAAATGCTGACTCTAGAGATCGTCAGTCCAACCGAGAGAGTGGTTGTGCCTGGGCAGTGAAGACACATGGAGAGGTAAGTCAAGAGGATTGGCCAATAGAGGAGCGCTGCTTGGCGTGGGCGGGTCCCTAGGTGTGCAGGGACAGATGGGACATCAAAGGTAGTAGGGGGGGAACCGGTCAAGCAGGGGCCACTTGGCTGGATATGACTGAAGTCTGAGTTTTGGATGTGGAAGCACCAGAGACCTCAAACTCTCCAAATGGGTTTTTTCCACAACACACCGTGGTGATCATGCAGTTTCTGAACTGGAGGCCAAGAAGGAGAAGAACATAAGAATCAGAGATTACATTCCCTCAGTGGTGGAAGAAGGATGCACATTCTATAAAGTACAGGCACCAAAAGGTTAATAGCACCAATACATAAATAAGAAATAACACTTACATTGAAGTACATTGGTTAGAACCATCAGGTAAATGTAAAATAAGATTAGCCTGTATTGATCCCCAATAGGGAAATGTAGGTGTTGCATCAGCACAGGAACAGATATAAGTACAAATAGAATTATAAATAAAGACTATAAAATAGCAATTTGAAATAAAAATACTCACTTTAAAAAAATGCCTCTTGTAATATTAATGTTATTGTACAAGACATTATTAAGCTTAAAACGTTTTGATTGGAGCGAAGCTAGTCATTACTGCTTTTAATAGAGTTTGTTAATTTAGTCTTCTGCTTTCCAATCTCTAGTAGTATGATGTAAAAAAGTAAAAGCACATAAACAAAATGTAATCAGGTTCTGTACTTGATAAACTGTACATTTTACCAATGCCTTCATTACACCTCTCTTAAACACAGTCACATTTCTTCACGTACCTGTCTGTTCAGCAGAATGTAGATGATCGGGTTGTACAGAGCAGAACTCTTGGCGAAGAAGGCGGGAGCGGTCATGAAGACTGGTCCAAACTCAGTCCCTTGATTGGCAAAGACGTACCAGGCCACGGTGGCGTAGGGCACCCAGCACATCAGGAAGGACACCACCATGACGATAACCATGCGGGTCACCTCCTTCTCCGCTCTCTGGGTGGATTCAGACTCCTGCTGCTGGGCTGCAGCCTGAAAACACACAGATAAAGGTCATCATGAAGGTCTGTGATGCAAATGTTAACAAAAGGGTGAGCCAATCACCAATTTAAAAAAACAAAACCGGATTAAAGCACTAAACAAAGTGATATGTCCTTTAATCAATGGACTTACACTTACAAAGGATAATAGTGGATTTGACTGGATGAATGAGACTTGGATTACACTGCGTGAGTTGTGTGAGAGTTTGTAAACAGATGCTTTAAGTAGCACTTCAATCAAGTAGTAGTATGAGTAATTTAAAAACAAATGATAATTCTGTTGAATGTACTAATACTCTCCAAATGTAAGTGCAAATAAAGACATTATCTGAAATGTATGGGTAAAATTGCATATTGAGGCTTTAAAATAGAAAGTCTGGTGCTGTTTCAGATTCCAGCCTAATAACAGATTTTGTTTGGTCAATTTGGGACAGCACAAAATAAATGGTGAACACACATACAGACCCAACAGTTACAAATCAAGGATATTATTGTTTTGAGGTGGTTTGTCTGGCTCCCCGTGGGGAATTTAATACCAAAGTTTGCTCTCTTTTAGCTCTGTTTTTGGTGTCTTCTAGCCCCGGTTTGTGCAGTGTTAGATATATTCGGGCCACTGAGGTAACTGTTACCTAAAACATGTGAACCACAAACTACAGCTCGGTCTTCAGCAGCTCCACAGGGAGTCTGGCTGCTCGGCTGCCAAATGCTCCACGGTGTTCACCAGCTCATCAGAGAGTGGACCAAAACAGTAAAGTTTACTGGGACAGAGCAATAGGAGCTTAAACTTGTTATAATAAATACCTGTAAGTTCTTAAGTGCATGCAAACCCCTCACATTATTTGAATTGTCTTTTAGTTGATAATAAAAAAAATATATATAAATAATTGCCGCCTTGTAAAAAAGCCAGCATTATTTTAAACTATTAATGACTGCTCATATATTATACATGTTTTTATACTATTATTAATGAGGGCATCAGGGTGACACTGAGCAGGCAGACTGCCCTTCAGCTGGAGGACCGGGTATAAGCTGCCGTGTTGGCAATGATCTGCCCTCCTGAAGTGTCCTTGAGCCACTAAATCCCCACATCACCGCTCTGTGATGTCGCTAACGTCCCTGTGGAGGGGAGGAAGCTACAAAATAACCAAAAATATTTTCTTTACAAGGATAAAGAAGGTATCACATCCTTATTAATAATATGTGGCCAGGCTTACCGCTCGCACAGTGCAGAGTAGGCGACTGTAGCAGAAGAAAATGATGAAGAGGGGGATCGTGAAATGAAGGACAAACATATAGATGACGAATGAGGTGTTGTGGAACTCAGGATTGGGAGTGTAGTAGTCGATTCCACAGGAACACTGCATTCCCTCTGGGATGTACCTGCAAGCCACAGAGAATCATTTCTATCAACACCATCACACACCGTATTTGATTCTAGATATGAGTCTTTGCGTAAGTGTGCTAAAAGTAAATAAAGGTAATCTCAGATGTAATCTCAGGTGTGCAAATGAGAAAAATGTTGGTTTGGCTTTGAAGCCTCTATCCTAGTTTTTAACACTGAATTATACAGTACCGTGACCATCCGAGCAGAGGGGGAAGAGCACAGGTCAGGGCCATGATCCATGTGAAAGCCAGGCCAGCTATGGCATGTTTTTCCTCAAAGAGGAAGTTGGTCATTGGTTTACAGACCACAACGTAGCGCTCAATAGCCAAAACCACCAGGGACCAGAGACCAATCTCTCCTAAAGTGTAAAATAAAGCAGTATTTTTATATTTCACACTCACATAATCTCAAAAACGTTTGTTTTTAAAATGTTCACAGAAGAAAGTGAAATACAAATCTAGACAATAGCATTTGGGTCATTCTACAGAAAAGGTGGAAGTACTGTCACTTACTTTTGCAGACACCAAAATACATGACGTTGACCTAATACTCACATTCATTATATATGTTGAATAAATAGAGATTGTCTTTGCAATGGTACTAAATAAAAAAAATGAAAAAAATTGTTTTATACATAAATTGCAATTTATTTTAAATGCCAAGTTCAAGGAACTGCCTTGTCACTTTGATCATACATGGAAGTGGAGCCTAGCGTTTTCATTTAAAATATTTGTTTTTCAATAAATAAATCTCATTCATATTCACATCACATTACATACATTAAATATAACACTGAAGTGGTAAAAAAAACGCAAATTATTATTAATAATATCCAATAAATGTCAGTCACCCAAAATTACGTCATTGGTGTTACTGCTACACAAAACGCTTTTATTTTGAAGTAATGTACTGTCTCTGAAGTGCCTCCTGTAACAAGAGATCATTTGAGGCAGTGCAGTGGACAAAGACATAAGGAAAGTCAGATACTTCTTAGTTTGTTTGTTAAAGGTGACATTTTATCTTCAAATTTTACGTGCGTCTTTCAAGTCTGTCATTAGTGTTACTAATTTCATAGCCCTAGGGGTGAACATTTGAATGGGAAAATGTATTGTATTGAAGAGTTAAACGATTTTGATATTGACTGAAGCCATATTTGGTCTGACACATTGCAGCCATTTTGTTAAATGTTTGTTTTGGGGATATATCCAGTCTCTGATTGTGTTACGTTATTATGAGAGTGCTCTCATACTTGTTTGATTCTGAAATTGTATANTTTATTTATTTATTTAGGGGCGTGGGGAATGAAGGAAAAAAAATATGAGCATTTTATGAGCATGGGATTTTGACCCCCCATATAAACATATGCATAACGCTGCGCTATACTTTGCGGCCACACGCCGTTGCCAAGCAATGCTTATTGTTTAGGTCCTTTGATAAGCAGGCAGTCATATCATAAAGTAGAACTTGCTAGATCTGAATGGACTATTCGAGTGGAGGAGAGCTTGAAATGTGTTTTTAAACCTGCCATAATTCCCAAACCCTACACTCCTGGGACATCATTGTATGCTTGAATTGTAGGAAAACCTCTCTTAGTTTGAAAAACAGACTGTCTCAGCCTATTCTTTTCTGTCTGATGGAGACTTCATACTGACGTCAACATGTTCCACATATTTTATACATTATTGGTGACGTATGGTTTTAGTTCAAAAGTTTGCAGTTAAAATATTCTGCTGCTTTTCAAAGCGTTTTTACTTTCTTTTCTCTCCTTAATACACATTCATTCACTACTACTTACATTTAATATCTAACTCCTTCGGCCTACTTTCAGCTGCAGAAACCATTCAACTATTAACTTATTCAGCTATTTCAGGACATTGAGGCTATACATTTTGTTGTTTATACCTTTTTTAAACCCTTTCTTTTAAATATTAAGCTTCTTCACTATTTTTCCTCCTCTTCCAGTTTAACATTTCACTTTCAAGTTTTCAACAAAGTCATTGCAATGCATTTGAGCTGTAACAATTTGATTCAAATCATTTAACTTTTCTGCATTTCTCCGCTAAGTTCAGCAACACACTTACTTGGTTTTTGTAGCTAAAAGCAGTTACAGAGACCATTCAACTAATAAAATATTCGTCTTTTTCTGCATTTTCAGCTAAATTCAGCAACAAATGTTCACAGTTTACAGCATTCGCACGCATTTTCTAGTTACTCAGAACATTTCCTATGCAATCAATACTGCGTGTAATATATTAACTCGCGTCGTGTGTTCTTGACCATAACTAAAATTATATATTTCATTTGAATGTACGTAATTATAACTGAATATATAAATGAACCTACCATTATATAAAAATGAATCCCAAGCTGTGATTGGAACAGTAGAGATGTGAGCTCTACAGAGGGGAAGCTACTTTTATTTTATGAAAATGTTTTTACATTATCAGTTGACAAAAAACACAAATAAAATCTTGCAATGAAAAGTTGAATTAAGGCAAATTGATAGTTTTCCAATTCCTTTGAAGTTATGTGATTTATCTTTTGATCCTCTGTTCCAGCAGATTTAGGATTTTCTGTTGTTGTTAAAAACATGTGTTGGTTATATCATTTAAATCTGTTGCAGTATTGTTATTGTAAGGAAAACCTATGCACCCGCCTTTTTAAATTAGTCACACTGTTAATATGTTTGCAACTTAGGTGTCCAATGTTCACTTCCTTGTCTAAATGAGTCATGAAACAATTGACGATTTTAATGAAAATGATAATCAAAATTATATCTACTCAATTTAGCTTTCATTAGGATGTATTTACATAAAATGTGTTTTTGTGCCATTTTAATTAATTAATTTAAAACCTTTGTGGAGATGCTTTTATTGTGAACTCTACATCTTGCCTTAACTCGCCGTCTGTGTCCCCTCAGGAGTGATAGTGTCCACCCCCACAGGAAGTACAGCGTACGCCGTGGCAGCCGGAGCGTCCATGATCCATCCCAACGTCCCGGCCATCATGATCACCCCCATCTGCCCCCACTCCCTCTCCTTCAGACCCATCGTGGTGCCGGCCGGGGTGGAGCTCAAGGTACTGACGCTCACTCTGTTCAGGAAGTACAACTCGCATTTTAACTGAGGAATCAGTTTCGACTGCCAATAAACCAACATGTTTTTTTTAAGCAAATCTGAAGTTAATGCAGCAGCACTTACAATAGTTTGGCTAATTCAAAGCATATATATCTGCATTTGTGTTGCTATTCTGAGTTTGTATCTTAATTGTTTATTGCACTTATTGTAAGTTGCTTGAAATAAATGTAATACCATAAAAAAATTGTCTGCATTCTTTTAAAGAAAATGTTGCTTTACTGGGTGAGATCATAAATGATTTATACAAAATAAATCATTAAAAGTTTTTGATTTAAGAAAGAATACGTAACAAGTCAAGTTTTTGGAGGATAGAAAACATAATCTTGTCTCTTTTGTAAATTAAAACCATAAAAATGTTTTCTTTCTTTGACTTTCTGCATTCTTCTGTCTGTTTGTAATAGATAATGCTGTCTCGCGATGCCAGAAACACAGCCTGGGTGTCATTTGATGGAAGGAAGAGACAGGAGATCTGTCACGGAGACAGGTTAGTCCACATACTGGTCATCACACACACACGCACGCACACGCAGACACTGAGCTAATGAAGCAAAACAGAACCCAGAGATTGCGTAATGGATAATAAGTTTAGCTCAACACTGGCAGCTTTGTTGTGTAACCGTATCAAGGCCCGGAGAGTCCCTCTGCGTCAGGCCCAGCATCTTCCTTTTTGTAACTTATCTGGAGGTAATCTCCTTCCTGCTTCGCCCAATGAGCTGCCAGTCAGTGGAGTCATTGCAGCGCACTGAAACAGGCCCATTGTTGCTTCCGAGGGAAGTTACTGATGTCCACACCTCCTCTTTCTATCAATCATTACAAGTACCTGGACTTTTCTTTCTTCATTGTGACACAAGACCTTTTCTCTGATTGTTCTTTTTTCTTTCTTCCCCGTTCCAGTATTACCATCACCACTTCCTGCTTCCCCGTTCCCTCCATCTGTTTCCGGGACCCGGTCAATGATTGGTTCGAGAGCCTGGCCCAGTGTTTGCACTGGAACGTGAGGAAGAAGCAGAACCAACTCAGCTCGGAGGATGAAGAGTTCTGAGGCACGAGGCGTCCTTGAGGTCTTCCTCAGTGTCAAGAGGCCCGATCTGGCTCTGTGCCGTTTCCTTTTCTTTTTTTTATGGATTGAAGGTCTCGCCAAACTCCATTCAAGAAGTCTATCAAAATAATGTTGCTCTTAATAGCGTAGACGTTGCTCCATAGTGATATTCCAAGCATGGGGTCTTAGAGTATTTGTATGCAGGAATTGAGCAAGTCTTATGCTGAAGGCGCATTAGCTGAGGCGGAATCATGTTCAGTCTTTTTACTCTTAGCTATGCAATTCTCATTGCAGCATATTGACATTATCAAAGTTTCCATGTTCTCCGTCCATCCACGCCCACCCGTATTTGGAAAATGTATAATGTGCATCGACAAAAAAATCCAGTCTATAGAGTACTTAACAATTATATATTAGGTAATTGTCTGATATGTAAGCATATTAAAATGATGGACTTTTGAATGGAGTTTGGCCCCCTGTCTGTCAAGAATTGTTCCAATGTGTTTCCATCTGTCTGCTGTGCAAACGAGCCTTTTCCAAATCAAAAAGCAGTTTGTATATCTTAGGTCATGTAGATTTTTAAATTATTATCAGATGTAAAAGCAACTTTGGGATGAACTTGGACTCAAAGTCTGAAGGTCAGTTGTTGAAGTTATTGTAATACCATTGTTGGTCTGTTTTAGCACTTTTCAGTCTTTAAGAAGGACGGCAGGGACTCCTATTACTTTATAAACAAAGAAGCTAATGCTCTCAGTAGAAAGATCAGTTACAACTCTCATGAAGAAAGAAATGTTGAATCAAACTTTCCCAGTATCTGTTTATCAAGTCAGGATGTGATGTCATGGATGAATGACAAACGTTGTCTTACACTATATTTGGTGCATCCTGGGAAACAGATTGACGTACATAATGGGCAAAACTGGCCCGAGTGTACAGACTGTGCCTTAAACACTGGTATCATTAATGTGCAGATATAGTATAATTATTCAAGGTTCGCATCAGGGTGGTGATGTAATCACACAAATGCACAGATGTGTGATCTGTGCATTTCCATTTTAACTACAGGTTGTCTTTGCTCTCTGCAGCGCATTGACAGTTCTAAAATGTGTATCACAAAGTCCCACAGCCATGGAGTCAATGCGCTGACGTGGAGAAATGCGAGGGAAGAGACCACAGCTCCGCTGTCTTCAGTGTCTTTCTAACGCCTGGTTTTTCAAATGACATTGAAGCCATAGCTGAACTCTGTAGGTTTTATAGACTGTGGGCTCTGGGGGGTTTTAATGGTCTGTGTGTGTTGAGGAACTAACATTCTCAGATTCTGCCGCTGTGCAGTCTTTAAGGTGGCTCACCTTACATATCTGATCCCATAAAATGTCTAAGTGTTAATATATACAGATATGAATTGGCTCATCAAACAGTGGTGTCATCTGTTGAATGAACTCAAGGGACCAACCAGCTCTAAAAGGCAATCATTCCTAACTGTGTAAATATGCGACGCTTGAATAAAATGTATTTTGTAAAGTCTATATGTTTATTAACCAGTTTACAATGTATCATTGCTGAAAATAAATCTATTTGGTACTTTTTTTACTGACAAATGTTTTAGCAGTTTTGATTTTCCAAATTTCCAAAACTCTTATTCAAACTTTCATTACATTTCTTTTAGATATAATTATAAATCTCAAAACAGATTATGATAACAGTTAATTTCCAATGTTGGGCTGTTAATTCCCACGTATCCCCAAGTTGTGCAAAAAGCCTGCGCTGTGACTTCGGTTTTTCTCAAAGTCCTTTCACTTTTGTAACTCAGACTTTTGTATTGTTGATTTTCTTAATGTTTGTAATATGCATCCTTCTATTTTTTTTTCCAGAGCACTTTAATAAACGGAGAGAAAGTTAAACCAGGAAATGTGTATCCTCATGTTTGGTCAACTTGCTTCACACCTGGAGCCAGTACTTGGGTTCATGTGTTTTATAGTTTATTTAGAACAGTGCAAAAAAGGGAGTGAGTAAGAAAGTTGAATAAAAAATATGCAGTGTTGCATAGAGAAGTAGTCTAGATATTGTAGTCACATGATTTAGGTTGAACGATTACAATTTCAAAAAGCAAACTCAAGTCAATCTAAATGTAATTTACAGGAAGGAAAGTAAGACCTTTCAAGATAGAATTACTTTTAAGTTGTGTCTGCATACCAAATCTTGATATACTAAGGACTCAGATATTACAATGTGCATTACATTAAAAACAATACAAGCTGCAAAGGCGTTTTCAGTGGTGATGCTTTACATCCATGTAAAAAGGAGTGTTAGCTGAAATAAAAATATACAGTACTCGGCACACAATAGGCAAAGAAAAGAATGTGGACAATGTCAGCAGTTAATTTTGTGATTGAGCGGCTCCGACCTCTCAATGCCGGGCTCCCAGCATGCAGCTGTGTCCTTGTTCCGCGACCACTGGATGTTTTATCACTTGCTGGGGGCAAACACTGAAAAGAGAAGTAAAGTTGAGTACAACATTTTGGTGTTCTGACGCTTTCTAACTAATATAAACACACTCAAGGTCAGCAGGGGGGCAATTAAAGAATTAAAGAGGGAAGTAGTTCAGGATATTTCAAAATCGGCAAAGATTACATGTTTTTTCAATGTAGTTTTTTTTTTTGTCTTCTGCTCAGAGTAAAGTTAAAATAAGTGGATCACTCAGTATACTCACTCCTCTCTCTCAGGCCTAGTCCAAAGCTGTGCACCAGTCTGATGAGGCCCCACAGTAACACCACTTTAATCACCAGGGAAATCAAAGCTCCTGTGACGGCAGCGGCCTCCAGGGTATACGTTCTGTCTTGGAACCATCTCGTTACCACCTGTAAAAAGAGCAAAAATACTTAAATCAAGAAATCCAATGTTAAAAAACTATATAATATTGTAATATTTTTTGACATACTATACCATGTCGTTTTTTCCTTATTATCGACATACTATACTGTGCCGTTTTTCTTTTGGGGTTTTGACACACTACAACACTGCCGTCTGTTCATATTTTCGACATATTTTACTATGTGGTATTGAAGCCTGTTTGCGCCACAGAAAAAACTAAATAAAATCCTGTCAGTCATTATAATGACTTAGTTATCTCATTATATTGACTTAGCTATCTCATTATATTGACTTAATATCTCATTATATTGACTTAGTCATCTCATTATATTGACTTAGCTATCTGATAATAATGACTTAAGACAACTACCAGCAAGTCAAAGCAATACACTAGCTGTAAGCAATCTTGATTTTGGAGCACTCCTGAAAAGAACATTGTTTTTGCTCTTGCCACACGCTTCATGAAGGTAGCATCTACTGTTAAAAAGGTAACATGTGAAGTAATGTTACTGGTATAGGCCTGATAGATAAACGTTAAATATAGCATGCACCGACCGCTGTTTACCTTCATACGATATGCTAAAAACCACAGTTGCTGCTACAGTCCGAACTCTACATCAGATGTTCGGTTATACTTCATATTCTGCTTTCATGATTACTTGTTCCTCAGAAAATAAATGTCCTGTAGTATCGTCCCGGTGCACTCCGGCAGCAGACTGAACATGGAAACGCAGGAGCCCGCAGCAGCTGTGTCACAATCTCACAACTTTATAGGCTAGTCTACAACGCCTTAATCTGAACTCATAATATATATTTAATTGACGAGTAAAACCTAACGTAGGCTATGGCTTATTATGGATAGGTAAACGGACATTTGCAAGCTTGAACACGTTTTAAATAACCATGGTGGAGCTCCCTATGTCTCTAACACAGTATGCACATTATCTTGCTTGCCACAGAATGCTGAGCTGACCTGTTTGAAACGTTTCCCATTTACTATATGCGTCCACGGTACGAATCCTGTCAAAATGTAGTAAAAAGCAAAACCTCTCCCTAATTAATTGACCCATAGAGTGCGCATCGTTCCGAGGCTTCAATCCGCTTCAAGTTATGCATAAGTGCCATATGCCCTAGCGAACCTGTAGCACAGTATTAATTGCATGCTAACTGCAGTTCGCTGTGTTTACCTTTTAACACCAGCAAAACAACAAATATAGTACTCACGCACATTACTGTAAAGAAATTGCTGAACAGGAGTTTTTAATGTTATTTAATAAATACGTCAGTTGAACCCAGTAAGCTAACACTACACGAAATATAGCAATACAGTTATGTTAGACACCTAGGCCTACCTCGACTCAGTTCGGCCATCCAACGGTCGGTGCATGCTATATTTAACGTTTATCTATCCAACATTAGGCCTATACCAGTAACATTACTTCACATGTTACTTTTTTAACAGTAGATGCTACCTTCATGAAGCGTGTGAAAGAGCAAAAACAATGTTCTTTTCAGGAGTGCTCCAAAATCAAGATTGCTTACAGCTCAACTCAACTCAACTCAACTTTATTTATAAAGCCCTTTTCAAAACAGCCGGAGCTGAAACAAAGTGCTGTACATGCCATAAAAAACAATGCGACCAGTCTTAAGCCTTTAGTCTCACATTACTCCCCAAAACCAAAAAACCCTCCGCCCCATCTGTTACGTCCTGCCTGACACACACTTGGATCTCCTCAAAATTGTTCGGTCCACAAAATTTACTTCCTCGTCTACCTCTACCCCTCTCCGACCTAATTACAAGGACCAGCCACATAATGCCGTTAAGGTGTGAAGCCGCGAAGGCTCGCACCGAATAAATACATACTCAAGTAGGTAACCCACATCCTTCCAACTCACTCTCTATAGGTCTCCAACACGGTCCAAAGGACATTCTGTCGCTCTTTCAGTCAAAATAACAGGTCTACTTAAGCAACTCTTACACTGAAAATAACAAACTCCCTGTCCCATAATTGTCTGCACTCGAAGTATAACGAAAACACACCACTCCTAACTGGTCCTACGTAACGTCCCGAAACGTCTGTCCCCCGCGCGAGCAGACATAACCCACACACTACTGCATCAGAGCTTTCACCACACGCGAGTCGACTGGTCTCATGCCCCCTACCTCACTGACACACTTATCATTTGTTTGAACGCTGGCCTCGGAAGATACCTGACATAGGACCAAGCAAATCTTCAAACACCAAAGACTACTGTCTCTACAGGTTATTTCCACACGCTTAGCCAAACAACTCCAACATCTTCCAGAGCGTGCCTCATGGGGTTACGGGCTACGTCCCGTCCTCTCTTGCCTTCGCAACCACCTGGGTCACACTCGGCCGGCGGCGATCGTACATCGTCGATACGCCCAATTTGACGGTCGAACTACTCGCCTCCACGTCCCGTCGACTCGCGGTTCATCAGCGTGCCTCTCTCCAGGGTCCGTCGGTTTCGGTCCTGTGCCTTTGCGCCTTACCTCCCACCCGTCGCGACTAACGCCCCACTTCCTACGGCTCCCCCACCTGCCGGCCCTCTCCTAGTTCTCGTACCCGTCTCTCGTTTCACCTGAAGCCTTGCTTTGCTGGGCCGCAACCCAGTCCTCCTATGTGCTGTGAAGTCAATAAGTCACTAGGGTCCGTCAGCATTCTAACTGTATCTTAAATTGCCTGACCAGGCGGTTTTCGGGCGTTCTTTTACAACTCCTTTCTCCTTTTTTTTCAATTCTCTCTCCTAGGTGCTTATCTTCTGGTTCTCCCTCCGCCTATCCGCTTCGACTTGTCGGGCGGTCGGCTAGGGAATCGCGAAGGGGCACTACTTGAGGTGATCAGCTGACGAGAGAGTATGACACCAACGGATCTAATGGTTAACCCAAATATGAACCAAGGGTCCTGAGAGTAAAAAAGGGTAGTTTTTACGATAGATTTTTATAAATCCTCACCAATTTACGTTAATTTTTCTCCACCCACCAGGTTTACATCGGTCAACCAATCAAGAAACTAGGTGTAACTTAAAACTCAACTAATCCAGGTGTAACTGGACTCTTCCATAACTTCGTATTCGTTAGCAGTGAGTTTATATTAATAATTATATAATCTCATAAATCTATACGTTATTGTTTATCCACACAGCGCGAATTCTCCCTACGTGTCTCTCTCGGCTATCTCCGCTTCCCCACCAGCTGCGCGTCCTTTCTCTCTTACTATTATGCCAAATACTATTTCGACACCTTCCTCATTTACACTGACTTTTCCTCTCACCTATCTTTCTTCCTTCTTCTATCTATGCCAGAAATATATATCTATCTCTTGATATCTATATCTATCTCTATATAACCTACGCGACGCTTTTTTTTTTATATCTATATATTTTATCCTCTATCTATTGATTCTTTATGTCTAGATTTTTGTGCGTATGTTTGGATGTTGATTATATTTGGTGTCGTTCTCTAGTCTCGTCCTCTTACAAATGATATACTACTTTACTTATTTATTACTCGCATATATCTCATACCTGTATTTTTTCGGCTAATATAATCTCGTTCTCGTTAGTTTAACATGTAGATAGGATTTATGTACTTATATATTCTTTTTATTATATTATACAAGCATTGATATTTGTAGTGATTGTAATTGTTAAATAAATTTAACATTAAGTATTTCTTCTATTATATCGTATCTCATTCTTTTTTTTTTGTTGTTTATCGTTCTACAGGAAATTCTGTGGTCTCTATTCTTTATATCGACACAATGTTATGTGTTAATAATTCGTTATGAGGTTTGTTTGTTACTACGACACTAATATATCTCTATGGGCAAATCTAATGAAAATAAGACAAAAATTTAGAAAATTGCCAGAGCGGCGGCATGGAGAGTCCACAGGTAGAAGTGAGGGACGCGGCCACGCAGTCCAGCCCGACATTCGTACGATGGGACCTCCATGGCTCCAAGGAGATTTGCCTTCAGTCTCCCCTATCTCGAAAAGGCGACGGCCAGGGTTCTGACTCACCTACCGGAGGTAACGGTAATCGGTCGGGGAAGTGACAGTAAAATTGAGGGCGGATTTTGGGTTAAAAATAACGAACCTAAAATTGGCGTAGCTCGGAGACAAAGACAAACAAAAATAACGAGAGTAACTCAAAACACAAAAATATAACAATATAATAACAATAACA